AGATATTATTATTTATATATATATATATATTATTATTTTTATACAAGTTTTAAGGGGTACTTTTAAATTGATGTAAGGAAATAGAAAGAGAAGGGAGAGGACGACGGCTGATGTGATCGAAATTAGAGAGGGAAGGGAGATATGAATATGTTTAAATGTATCTTTATATTAAGATACGGAAGTGTAAGGGTGGTAGGGCAAGTTGCCAGACATTTTAACCTATTTAACAAGTCCTTATGAAATACAGCTAAACGCAGTAAATAAAATACATGCTAAAAAGTTTTCCTTAAATATACGATCATCAGGCGTTAATCCAATATTTCTGTCTTCATACGCTTCAACTGTTAAATAAAGAAAACTTCAATATAAGTTATTCGGTTTGACCAACCAATCGTCAATCTGAAGGTAAGTAACAGGAAATTTGCTTGTTTCAATGTCGACATTTCAATAACAACTCAGTTTTCCTGTTAATGTGTCTGTTTTTCTGTCCAAACCCCAGGATAGCTAACTATATATATATATATATATATATATATATATATATATATATATATATATGTGTGTGTGTGTGTGTGTGTGTGTGTGTAGAGATTAACACGACAGAGTAACTGGAAATGTGACTTGATCAGTTAGACTGATTAACTTCCCATCATGTCTGAGAGGTTTATCGATACGCATCGATGTGATAAATAAGCGGCCAACCAACCGAACGCAACGTATAAAAACATCTCTCTTGTTCTGGCCATTTGTGGGTTTATAAATACGAAAGCGGGTAATGTTTCCGAATAAAATCAAATGAATTAACGAACTAACGAAACTTTTTATAATTATTTGGTAGTGAGGGGGAAATTTAATCTCTCGTCAGTGTCTTCGGCGTTTTGGCCGATCCATTTTACTATTCCACATATGTACCGTCCGTGTTATATTTCGGCTTATCGGACGGGTGTATAATCTGGGCTAGTAAGAGTTTCACTAACGTTTGTTTTACTTTGCTTAATATTGAAAGCGTTGGAGAATTTTGTTAGGAAACGGTTTAAGAACCTCTATACGAGAACAAACTGCACGCGTCGTTAAAAACAAAACAAAAATATACGAGTCTGAGGAGGGGGGTATATTACTCAGCCGGAACAAGAGAAAATGCAAAAAGAAAAAAAAAATGAATCAAATATTTTATCCAGATTTTTAGATGCGGTTCGAAACGAAGAACTTTTTAGCGCACACTCGCATAGTGACATTTCTGCTAGGACGAATTTGTCGAGTCCACTAAAATATCAACTACAATATTTATAAACCAATCACACTCAAGAAAATACTTACATCTTAAAACACACCAATAAAATCATAGATTACAAATCAGAATGTTTGTTGTATTAGTCATCATTATTTTTAGGTAGATACCGACCAAATATCGTGCGGACGTAGTAGAAGACATACCACGTGACTTCTTAGGGCCAATTAGAAATAAATAAGTAATTTATTTCTGGAGCCGATGTTGTTCGGAAAAAGTGTATAAAAACATACGAAATCCGTTCCCAAACAGGGATACACGCAGCTGTCACCAAACTCCACGCAACTC